TTTAGGAGCTCGTTTTTAGTCCATCTCTGCAAGACAGACTTTTCAGGATAGGAGATGGACTAAAAATGAGCTCCCAAAACTTACTGCGACATGGAGCTAAGGAGAAACTGTAGAACTTGAAAAATTGGAAAAACAGCTTAGTGAAAAGCGTTTACAGTTTAAAAGCAAATAGAAAGTCCTATTTTTTTTTTTGCAAATTTGCACATGCACAAGGTTTAAAATGTTCATTAAATATTTTTTTTTAAATATTGAAATTTGAGCACCTGCATTTCTGTTCCTGGAGATCTACCTACCTGCAGAGTTCAGTTCCAACTCTGCTTCAACACACCTTGCCTGTAATTATCAAGTGCTCCTGAAGATCTTAATTAGCTTGGTTAAGCCATGTTTGATTAGGGTTGGAGCTGAACTTTGCCGGAAGGTAGATCTCCAGGAACAGGGTTGGGCACCACTGCTCTAGGTCAAAGATGAAAAAATGGGATTTACAATAAAAAGTGATTTACAAAAAGTAGTGTTTTTCTCTATTGAGAGAATGTGCACATTTTTAATGATATCAGGTTTTACCATGTTATTACAACATTTAACCACTTTATATTAATACAAAAATGGCTTGATATAAAATAAATGGTGCTTGAAAAAGTAATTGAAAGTCCTTGAATCTGGTGTTCATGAAAGAGTGGGAACCCTGTTTAATTCATTTTAAATTAATTTTTAAATAATTTTAAAAGTTTTTAAATTCCTTGTTTTTATTGTTGTGATCTTTTATGATTATTTTAATTCCTTTTATGTAAGGGACTTTGAATTACCATTGTTTATGAAATGTGCTATATAGATAACGTCAAGGGATAGTCATATCATCAGCATATCATTAACTGTGCAGCAAAGCAGGGGGTCTAGTGAGAAGGCAGCCATGAAGGCGTGGTTTAACAGTGGTCTGACAGAGCGATAAAACGAATTACCATTCTGATAGATCGACTTGTAAACGATCATGTATAATTCTCTCTTCCTCCTCTTCTTCTTCTGAATCAGTTTCTGGTTCAAACACATATGGCTTAATTAAACCAATATTTCCTCTTGCCATTGTATCGCATTTACTACAGTTCAGTTAGTGGATCAGGAGGACCTGGCTCATGGCTGGCTGATGTGACTGAGTGGAGGCGGGGCTCATTTGCATATTCATAGATCCGCCTATAGTAAATGAGGCAAGGGTGTAGAGTTACATTCAAGCTATTTTAAGGCATGAGAAAATTATTCTCATAAGAAAAAAGATTAAAATATGTCATTTTAATTATCAAAGATTAATTTTAATGGATAACATTTTTGACTACAGGGGGACTTTAAGGATAGCTCTTAAATTGTTAATGATTAGTTAATTCATTATATACTGTTGAATACTGAAGGCATTAAGATTAATTGAGGTATTATTAGAGAATTATTCATGTACCCTTATTGTAAAGTGTTACCATTTTATTTTTAGGCATGTTTCTGTCTTGTACATGTTCACAAATACACGCACACAGTCTACAATTTTACATAGCTGCACACTAAAATACATTTCACTCCAAAACTAGCTAAAATAACAATGATGACATACATTATACTGTGCATCTAAAACTAAAATTTAAGTTCACAAGTTCATTGCCACAACAGTGTTAACTCTAGATAGCCCTTTAACATAAGCACATTTAAATCATTTTAATTAGAAAAGGTAATTTGACAGCCCAAAAATACTAAATCTAGAATAAAACTAAAGCCGAAAAGACTTGACACTTAAAACTAAAGTAAATTGAAAGGATATATTTTTCTCACTATTAGACATTTTGTTCCAGCATCAATTGTCTCACACCACATTACAGAGAAAGTTGAAGGTGGGAATACACAAATTTAACTTTACCACTTCTGATCTCAGTGTGTTCTAGTCAATCACAGTCACATGTTCACCACAAGATGGTGCCGTGACTTAGCAAGAACATTTTGTGTTCTTGCGCAAATTAGTCAAAATGTCATGAAAGGTTACAAACAGCCAATGTAAAGCTAAAAATAAAGCATTTTAATTTACTATATTATAAATGACTATACCTTAATGCCACACTATGCTCATTAGTTACCCGCATCTTTGAAATAACATCAGATGGCACTTCTCACTGAGGTTGAAGTTGACTGTGTGTACAATTAAAGTAATTTTTTAAAACGAGGAGTTCTCTGGGAAAACTTCAGAGCTGTTTATAGCTGTCTGGAAAGCTGAATTTCAGTGTAGATCAACTCACAAAAATCTGGTTTGTGGAATAGTCTTATATTCCGTGAAATGGGGTTTAGCTGATTTCAGATTCGGTGAAGTGAAGAACAGAAAGTGAGTGAAAATCAATAGAAGCGTATTTTCTTGTTCAATTAAATGTATTTATCCAAACCCTCAAAAGCATCTTGTTTTGAGTATTTTCATCAGGAGTGATGTTCCAGTCTTCATATTCTCCTCCTGCTGACCTGTATTCTCTCCAGAGGACTTCATCTGTTTGAGTCATTGGGATGAAAATATATAGTGCTGTTTTCTTCTGCTGGTGTGCCCATTAGAGTAGATAAGTTTGTTGTGTTGTTATTGAAATCGCCCATGTAGTCCAGCGACATGATGAAGAGAAACACTGTGATCTCTATCATGATTTTTTTATGTTGTTGGTGGAGCTGGCACTGACACTGAGCCCAACAGCACTGACAGAAGTCATCAGTCAGAAGCTCATCTGGCCTCAACTTATTGGAAAAGTATTTGTGCTCAATCTACTGCTGATGGCTGATATTACAGCAGAAAGTTCTTGTCTTATCACATTGTCAGACAGTGACATCATTTCATTTCAGTGTGTACACATTAAAATCTTCAGATACTTTAATGCAGGACTCCAAATTTAAATCAGTGCATTTGTGCATTGCATCTCATATTTCATTGCAAAAATATAGTATTTTAGTTTTCATATCTACAAATGTATTATTGGAGTTGAGTGGAGCCAAACTGCTGACTGTTTTCTCATAAATTACTAATTTTGTTCCAAAATTATAAATCCACTCAAAGATACTGGCATGTGGCTTACATACTGTCCTTGAAATTTCTTCAAACGTTCTCTTTGATGTATATAAGGTTTAGATTACATTGAACATACACATTTTAAACTGTGTTCAGAACCTAAGTGAAATATATTTCGCTTGTTTAATTAAATGTATTTATCCAAACTGTCAAATGCATCCTGTTCTGTGTAGTTATTCCATTCTTCTGGAATCTTACCCATCCCCTCAAATGTATTACTGTAGTATTTTTCCAGATCTTTCTGGAATCTGCACACAAACCACTTCCAGTAGGGCAGTTCAGAGAGATCAGAGGTGATGCTCCAGTTAGCAAATCTTTCTCCTGCTGTTCTGTATTCTTTCCAAAGGACTGCATCATTTGAGTCAGTGGGATAAAAAGATCGATTGCTTGCTACTGCTGATGTGCAGACGCTAATAGCCAAGTTTGTTGTTTTGTGGTAAATCCATCCATTCAATCCAGTAACTCTGTGGAAAGGAACATTGTGATCTCCACCATGGTTTTCTATGGTGTTGGTGCAGGTAGCTTTACAGAATGGACACTGAACCCAACAGACCTTACAGAAGTGATCGATCAGAAGCTTGTCTGGTCTGAACTTACAGTCCAGCTTTTTTGCAAATGTCTTTGTGTTGAATCTACGGCTGATGTCTGACATTACAGCTGTAAGTTCTTCTCTTATCACATCTCCTAGCAGTTTGAAATCATCAACATCATCATGTTCGACTCCACTGAGGTCTTTTTCAGAGAAGATCAGCTCATCTGAGAGCTGCTGTGTGAATCTCTTCAACCACAAACCAGCATCTCCTCTGTTCTCTTGAACATGTTTAGTAGATTCATGAGCTGCTCTCATGATCTTCTGCTGCAGGAGTTCAATGTTCTCCTTCATCTTGGGTAAAACACTGTCATTGAACTTATCATTGATGTACCGACTGACTTCACCTCTGATGAAGCTCTTGAAGTGATTTCTGGGATTATGAATGTAGCTTATGTATTTCTCAAAATCCTTCTCTTCTGCCAGTGTCTTCAAGATGTGTTTGTCCAGATTTGACCTGTTTCCATTCAGTGATGGACAGTTTGATCTCATTTCATCCATCAGATCTCTGGCACACTTCTTGTAGACGCTCTGTTCAATGGGCTCTTTCAGTTTCTGACAGATGATCTCACCAAAAATGGCAGCTGATGTTGCTCCATGGCAGTATTTCTGGAAAATACTATAGTATTCATTTCGCTTTTTCTCCAAATAGAGAATAGGATCATTGTCTTCTCTGAACATTCTGTATTGGTCTAGGATCATTTTCTCTGCTCTCTTGCAGATGGAAAGAACCAAATCCATGAAGAATTCATTCCTGAACACATATTTTGCTGGTCCTTCCTGATGTTTTGTTACTCTATTCTTGATGTATCTTGTGAGATTTTGAATGCAGCTGATATTGTAGCCCATCTTTGCAATGTTAAATGACTGAATCATTCTGTCTGTCTGCTGATCAACATCATTAACAAAGGTTCTAATTTCAGCATCATCCTCTGAAGGTTGAGAAAAAAAAGATTTTATTTTTCCATGAACAATCTCTTTAATCCCAGACTTTTTGAAAACAATATATCCACTATAACCCCTCACATTGAAAATATTGTTGTAAGTATTGTCCTTTATGGGAGCACTTTTATTGATGTCACTGAGGATCTCTCTCACATCTCTCATTATGTCAATGTCTTTGACTGAAGGAGTGTGTCTGGTGATCATATTTACACAATGTTCCCAAAATAAATCAAACTCTTTCTTCACTGTGTCTTCATCTTTTGCTTTGCCTTTTAGTTTTAAGGCATGTTTTTTACTCTCTTCCAAGAGAGTGTTTTCATGATGTGTCCTCTGAGCATCAATCTTTTTCTTAAGGTCTCGCTGCTGGAGAATCTCGTTCAATTTTCTCTTTGTTTCGCTCACAATGTTTTCCTGAATCTCTTTGATTTTGATTTCAAATGATGTTTTCCACTGAATCAGTATATTTGCATCTCTGTCTTTCTCAAAGAATTCAGACATGGATTTTTTCACTTCTTCACTTGTCTCCTTTAGTTCTTTTTGAAGACCAGTTTCCTCAACTTCATGAATTGTTTCATTTTCTATTTGGATGTGTAGTTTGTTCTCAGTTTCCATCATGGCACTGCGAAGAATCCAGGACCACTTGCTGTATTCAGTCTTCAGTTTCCCATAGGCTGAAATCTCCAGAGAGTTTCTGAAGCTGAAGACGAATCGCTCATTCAGTAAAGCCTCCCAGAGATCTTTAATACGATCTTTTAAGTCTTTCAGTCTCATTCCATGTGATCTTGAAGCATGGGATACAATAGTTTCCTTCAGTTCTTGAATGTTCTCACAGTAGTTTGGGTTTGGCGGTGCCATGGGTGGACTGCCCTCCCAGAGCTGAGCAAAATACTTCACGTCTTTCTGAACATCAAATCTAATGACGTCACTAAAACATTCTTCATCACAGACTTCCTCTTCAGCGGCAAGTTTTGTCATCTTATCCAGTGTCTCCTGCAGTCGTCTCCTTCCCTCCATGTT